TGTAGAACTGGCCCATGCCCCCCCGACCTACTAGATATAGTTTCAGGGGGCCGACCATTGGTCCGAGATGTTGATACCAATAGAGGGTGCTTTCGTACCAGATCTACGTTGGTCGTTAACTATGAGTTCATCGTATCTTTAATGTCGCTATGGTAAGTATCACATCGGCAATAGAATATAGCAACGATGTTAGATCAGGATATGGAATGTGAATCTTCGGTGTTATCTTCGAGGATCTTGCCTTCATTTTTCTATGCTTCTAGTGTGGATTGTGATTTGGACCTAGAGTCATTTCTTCTTCTTCTTCTTTGTGGAATTTCCCAAGGAAATCAAAGATCTGGTGGACCGTCGTTGAAACGATAACTGACTTGATCGAATGCGATGGATCCTTGTGTTTAATTTTGCACACTCTTGACTCAGTGACCTAAGGAGGCTGAGAAGTGGTAAATAGGAGATTGGATCTAAAATTGTAGGAATCATAAGTCAATTTCCATAGACGACACCACTGTTTTTTTTTCAGGAATGAAAAATGGATGCAGTTGATGAACTTGGTGTCTTGAACTAATGCTTATGATTTATGTTACAAAGGCTCAGGATGGATCTGCACGGTTAACACTCTAACACCAAAGTAAATTCAACATTCAAGATGAGTATAATAAAAAATGTTCTGGACTGGGCCCGACTGGCCCAAAAGCATTGCAAAGGCCCAGTTCAAATGGACTTACAAGGGCCACGCCGACCAAAGAGTGAGACTGTGCCCGACGCGCAGTCACTGACTCGACGATACGCCTCCAGCTCGACATGAGGTGGTCCAGCACCGCAGTATGAGGTCCAGCTCGACGCTTACCTCGAGCACCCCAGCTAGGGCAGACTCAGTCCACTGTTCCCCCAACGATACTCCGAAAAGACCGCGTCTCCGTCCGCCCGCACTTCACGCAGAACATCCAGGAAGGGGACCATGTATGGGTCCCCACTACGCACGTAGAACCTGGCAGTTCCTCCATTGGGCCAAACCTGCCCGGCCCAGTGAAGGAACCTTGGCCCAGCGCTGGGGGCTATAAATACCTTCTGCTTCCAGAGGGTCAGGTATTCATCATTCTAACCTTACACTTGCTATTATCTGCTCGTACTCCTACTTACTTCAGCATCGGAGTGCCTTGCAGGTACCCCCCCCCCACCTCGTTCAAAAAAGCTTTCTGCTCGGAGCCATCCGTGGCGGTCCATTTCTAATCAGGTCAGATCAGTGGCGCCGTCTGTGGGAACACTAGCTTCCCCGTCTAACGAACAATTCTAAAGACCAAAGCTCAATTCAACTACCTGTCATGGCTGATCCAGCTCGCGACGAGCAGCCCGTCCGTGTCGCCGACACTAATAACGGTACCGCGGACAAGAATGGACACCTCGATAACCCCGGTGATCCCGGCCACAGTACCATCCCTGTGACGATCGCCCCTGGACCTTCCTCCTACAGGGACGGGGCTACTGCATCATCCTCTTCGACCCCTCCAGCACTCGAAGACAACCCGGTAGCTCTCGCTCATCACAGAGCTGCCCGGTTCTATGAAGTCCCAGTTCCCGCCGGGGCAGATGCCACGACTCAGGCACTGTTCGCGGCTATTAATCAGACAAATTATCTCATCTTCGCGCAAGGAGAAAGATTAAGGGCACTTGAAGATGATCGACGACCCCCGAGGAGGCATCGGAGGCCACATTCTCCACCTCCTCGGGTCACGGAAGCTCGACACCCTTCTCCCCCGCGAAGACACTATAGGGAGAACTCCAGGAGCCCTTCTCCCCGGCCAAAGCAGAGGCGGCCCTACCATGAGAGACAGCCCGTCATCCCTGCTGGAGAACCCAGTCGCGACCCATCAAGGCACAACAAGAGGCACGCCGGGGACGGGCGTGTGACCTTCAACCACCGAGCATCACGCTCGAGGGAAACTCAAGCATGATCATCGTGCCATACATAACTACAGGACCCCTTCTCTTTCTCCGGAGAGGAGCGACGAGGACGACCCCCGCGGTCCCCTGTCGCAGGCCATCATGGATGCACCCATCCCCACGAGCATGGAGAAGCCCCCGCACCTGAAGGAGTATGACGGAATAGCAGACCCGGTCGACCACATTGACGGGTTCGAAGCCATGCTCCACTATCATAATGTCGGGGGGCCCATCAAGTGCCGTCTTTTCCCCACGACTCTCAGGAAGGCGGCCATGGACTGGTATAAAGGACTCGCCCCAGGCTCAATTACGTCGTGGCGGAACCTGAAGAACCAGTTCATCAGTTCCTTCACAGCTTCTCGGCGCCATCCGAAGACCGAGGCGGCCCTCGAGGCCATCATCCAAAGACAGGATGAAACCTTGAGGGAATTCATCAACCGCTTCAACCGGGAAGCGATACAGGTCCCATGCGCGGACCATATGAAAAGATATTTACTGGAGAGGGGCCTCCTCCCCGGCACAGAATTTAGAAAGGATGTGGGTATTGAGCCACCTCCAACTTTTGATGCCCTCCTCGACAAGGCCCGAGCATACATGGACTACGAGGAGAGGGAAGCTGCCAACAGGGCCCGAGACTCCAGGGCTCGCGCTCCCAACAACAGCAGCAACTCACGACAAGAGCCTCCTCCCTGACGTACCGGGGAGAAAAGGAAAGAAGACCGACCCCGGGAAGTCCGGGAACAAAGGGGCCCCTCTGGCCGTTTCACCGAGTACACTCCGCTCACGGCTTCCCGCGAGCGTATTTTGGCGGAGTGTGCCAATACAGATTTCAGAGACGGTGGCGTCAAGCGTCCCCGACCTGCTCCCGCCAAGCCAGGGGCAGATAAAAATAAATACTGTCAGTACCATAGGAGTCATGGTCATTTGACAGAAGACTGCGTCCACCTCAAGGACGCCATTGAAACCCTCATCAAGGGAGGGAGGCTCGCACAGTACAGGCGAAACGACGCTCCCCGTCGTGACGCCCATGAAGCCAAGGAGCCCGAAGAAGACGCCCGACCATCAGACGAGTCGGTGCCTATCCAGACCGCCTTCTCGCTAACCAGACCAGAGGATTTCGACGTCCCTGAGCTCCTGCAGGAGCCCCTGACAACACACAGCAGGTGGGAATATTTCCCCTCCGCCATGGTCATCAACGGGGGCGGGTTCAACGACCTCACCATCAATTCGGCCAAGAGGAAGTTGGACGAGCTGGTCGACATAGCTCCTCCACAAACTGTAACGTTCGAAAGGGTGAAGGGCAGGTCAAAGCCTGTTGCACCCCAAAATTTGCCCTCCCATATTCTCCAAGAAATTGCCAAGTCCAACTTCAAAATCTCCCCAAGGGTTGCACAGTGCAAGGGCCTCCTAAACAGTCAAGATTAGGGTTTTTGTTCTGATCAAGAAAATGAAGTTTCCAAAGGTCCAATCAAGTCCTACATGCCTACAAATATGGTCAATCATCCTCATATCAAGTTTCAAGACTTTCAGCACAAAATTGCACAGTCAGAAACCCTAATTGCACTACAGTCAACTGTAGGGGTAAAATGGTCATTTGACAGTCAAAAGTTCAAATTTTTGGTCAACATCTCATTTTGAAGCCTTAAACATCATTTGATCAATGCTTGATCATGATTCTCAAAGTTTGGCTCAAAAATCATCAAGATGCAAAAGTTTCCTTATTTGGACAGCTGAAAAAGTCAACTGTAAATTGACCAGGGCATAACTTTCACATGGATTATCAGAAAAATTCCATCCAAAGCTCATTTTGAAGAGAAAGACATTTCCTACAACTCATATTCATACTTCAAGTCCAAGAAATGCTCTCACAAAAAGTTATCAATTTCAACATTATAGGTCATTTTCAAAAGTCAACAAAAAGGGACTTTAAGTCAAAGGCCATAACTTGAGATTGGTAAATCAAAATGACATGGGACCAAAGGCATTGGTTAGAGGACTCAAATACCTTTCCAAAATGTCCAAAAACATGAGCAAAGCTTAAAAATTGAGCAAGTTATGCCTTGTGGAAGTTGGGAAATTTTTGGATATTTTGAAAAGTCAACATTGATTCAAATGACCTAAAATTGCTAATGGGCCTATTTTTCTTCTACAATTCACTATCCAAGGCATGTGCACGACCACTTGGCCCAAAGGGAAGTATTTCTTCATTTTTTATTTATTTATTTGAATTTTTATTAATAATAATTCATTTAAATCAAATTAAATACATGAAAAATATTTAACCTAAGTTTTACAATCTTTTTGTGCATGAAATCTACTCAATAATTCGTGCATGATCCAATATGGAAAGATTTGGAGAGAATTGATATGATTGAGAGCAAAAACACATGAAAAATATTTGAAAAAAGATCTTGAAAATCAAATCTCAAAAGCCATGAATACAAGAGATTTTGATCAGAATTCTTGACCTAATTGGTTCATTACATAAGCCTGAATACAAACCTAATCAGAGGAACCATTGAGCTGCGCTAGAAACCAATTGACAAACTTGAAATTTTTGCAAAGAAACTCAAAACTGAAAACCTCATTCTAGGGCGATTCAAGGCATGATTTTTGTTTCATTAGCTTGCTGAAGCTTCATTGAACGATTCCCAATCAAAAACATTCATCAAAACCTCAAGAATCGGTATACAGAACTCAAAATATTTCATAAAAAATGCATATTCGTGTTTTGATTTGCAGGCATCCTCATGACATTTTGTTCATTGATTCATACTCCTTATGCAATTCTGAAGCTAACCCATATGTTTAATTGTATTTTTATGCGCTATACGCGATTTCGCCATTGATAATATTTAGGATTCAGGAAGCTCCAAATTGGGGGTTTTTAAATGAGGAAAAATTAGAGTGTGAAACCACCACCATTGGAATCAGCGTGTCTGGACGAAGAAGAAGCTATGCTCGCGCTCAATTTATGAGCGTTCCTGGGCTATTCGTTATTTTCCCAAAACATGCCTAAGAGAACGCTTAAAAAACCGTTGCCTGTTTCTTTTGTGTTT